TACGAAGGGAGTATAAGCCTTTTTTTTTTTGCAAAAACTGCAAAAACTGCAAGTCACTTTTTCGTCTGGATGAGCGTCACAAATTAATACATATGGCTTTTTTGACAATGTAATCTTACTAAACAATACTTTTTTGAATAATACTTATGGTTTTTAAATATTTTTTCAAGCGCGTTTTCCTAAATACGATGTATTCCACATATCCACCAGGAGATCTTTAATGAGGTGGTCATTTTTCGATACACATGTCCAATTTGGGAATTGACGATTTTTGGAAGTTCCAAGGCAAAAATTCTAGCGATTACTTCCATTGCGGTTTGATCGTTCTAGTATAGTTGTAAACGCGCAAGCATTTTCATGCAAACGAAAAAAATTAAAAAATAAAGAAATAAAAAAGGAGATGCATTACAAACTTAAAAGATTTCGTTGGTTTTAACGGTTGGTTAAACTTATATTCGCAGGTAGAGAAAATATTTTCTTTTTGTTGTGCAAGTATGTTAACCAATATTATATTAAAAATTAGAACCTGTAGCTACAAATGACTTGATTTGTATATTTATTCTTTTTTTTTCTAAGAAAGCATTTAATATATTTTGGTGAACCTTACGTTGCTTGTTTGGATTTCTTTACTTTAAGAGCAATTACAATGAGGGTAAAATTGCAATGTTAAAATATTGTTACTTAACATGGCAGAGCTTAAAACTCAGTTATTATTTTTTACATTGTTAATTTTCACAGTTGTTTATTTAAATCTTTTTCTATATTTTATTTGCTATTAGGCTTCCTTACAAACATATCACACAATTTTTTATATTATCGTTATAAAAGTCTAAGTAATAAATATGGCAATTTATTTCATATAAATATGCAACTCATGACTATGCAACATTCAAATTTCATGTAGTTTATGTGTTAAAATTTTTTCGCTTTATTTCTTTCTTGTCTTACAGAAAGGGTTATTTAAGAACACCAAGCACATATATTGTGTAATCTATCGTAACAATCTTTTAGTCAAACAACGCCTTCGTGACTAATAAATATGTCTGATGATACAAATACCAGACACTGAGATATTCAATGTCAAAATCAACTGTATAATACGAAATAGAGGTCTTTGTTTGAGATGTTTCGCTTGTTACAGATTGATAAGAAGCTATTTTGTAAAAGGTGCAAATCGTTAGTGTTAAAAAAAATTTTATTTATAATTTTTATAAGAATTACTTTACTTTTGTAACTTAAAAAGTAATTAAACGTTGTAGAGCTTTAATATNACGTCCCCGACGTCGAACATATGAAAGGGATCCTCGAGGTTCTCGATCGCTATGATCTTCCTGATGATTTCGAGGTCACTGAGCTTGTCGTCGAAGATGCGCACCTATCATCATCACGACAGCAAAGTGCATGAAATAATTCTACCTATACCGAATTCCTACGTTGCTTTATGCGAATGTCGATTTGATTGCTTTATTTTTCTGGCCACAACTAGTCAACTTTGCAGCGTATAAACTTGTTTGTTTGTTTAGCAATTCCTAAACGCTCTAAATCGCTCTGTCTACAGTGCAATACCCCTTTACGTGTGTGTTACCACGATACCGTCAAGTTATGCGAATAAACAAGTGACAAAAAGGTGAATTTTTCCAACCACCTCTTGTTAACACACTTGTCATCTACTTTGCTGTTAAAAAAAAATGATTAATCGTTCTCTAATCGATAAACAATTTTTTTTTCTCGCAGAGGAGGAAAATCCCGAGAAAGAAACACTTGCTCAAGTGTGGAAGAAGAGGAAAAATCTCGTTTATCTGAAAGCCAAGACTCCTCGCGATATAAGATGGGCAAAAATAAGTATAGCGTCTAAAAAAAAGCAGAGCGAAACGATAAAACGAATTTCGGGAAGGGGAGAGAAAAACTACGGGCGCCACGGGAGGGCCATGGTGCTCCTGTAGGTGGTGGTGACGGTGCGCCGACTGGTGGAGGAGGTGGTCCTGCGGTAGCGCCAGTTGGTGCGGTAGTGCTCGGGGAACCAGAAAATGAGGTGCCGGTACTCGAAGAGCAGGTCCCGGAGGAGGAAGACGCGGCGGAGGGTCTTGAAGTGGGAATATACCTCGTCGAGGACAAAGTCGGCCTCTCCGGGGACGCCGCCGCCGATGTCGATCAGCTGGACGTTGTAGAAGCCGTAGTCGCGGGCTGTGTCGATGAGGCCCTTGCACAGCCCGATGCCGCGGCTGAGGGCGAGGACTTCGCCGCAGGGGCTGCCCACGTGGAAGCTGAAGCCGTGGAGGTCCAGGCCGAGGTCCCGGCAGCCGCGGATCAGGAGCTTGGCCTCCTCGTCTGGATCACAGCCGAACTTCTGGCCAAGGTAAATGTCGGACACCAAAGCGTCGCATCGGAAACGGATAATTACCCTACGGGCAGAGAACGGACAGTAGGGATTGGATCTTTTTATTGGTGATATCATGTTTATATGATCTGTTAAAAGTGATAGCTCTAGGTTGGATGATGATAAATTATAATAAAACTTCTTTTCTGATCAGTGTAAGTATTATGTAATATTCTCGAGAAAAGTAGTTTAGTCGTAAATTGATCATAAATAATCGAGCATAGATAGTAAACCAACATCAGATTTCGTTTATTTTCCTACGCAGTACGCGTACACGAACACTTTTCAGTTTTTTTTTTAAACTCCTGGATTTTTCAATCAGAGTATCCGAGTGTAAAGTACATAAATGTAATAAATTTGATAGGAATTTTTTTAAGTGACCAAACGATTGTATTAGTTTGTTTTTCACTTCAGATTTACACACTTTATATTGGATACGCAAGTCGATTTGCATTCAAGGGCATAATTTTTTCGTCAAGTTTTATTTTGAATACTTATGTTTTCGGAAATGACCGGCTTTTGGAACTGCGGCCTTCAATGATGAGCGAAAAGAATCGATTCCGGTTTGAAAACAAAAGTGTAACATTAATTAAACACGCGTGTATGTTGCCTCTGATTGCACAACAATGACGTTTTATTTTGGAGAGCGCGTTTTTTCCGTCAAAAGATACGTGTGAGAGGAAAAGACAACCGATTTCTTATCTTGCGATCGTTACTATATTATACATATACATATGAAATACGCACATCTAAAGTAAACATAAAATACAATATTTATCAAAAAAAGTGATCGACATTAAGGCACTCTTTGCAATAAAAATTAATTTGTCTTCGTGTGAGAGCTATAGCTTCGCATTTTCGAATACGATTGCATTTGTTGACAAGTAATCTAATCGACACATGATTGAATTCAGACTTCTTTTTTATATACAAGTACTGCTATATTTGAAAGTGACTAAACGACCTAAGATACGATTTATCTGATAAAAATCAATTTTTGATACTAATCTAAAAGATTTTTTCAACAACTTTTTGCATCGATTTCCTTAAGATGACATCCACTTACTTGGCTTCCGGGTAAAACTCCTTGATTTTCCTCAGCTCCCACATGCTGTCGACGGTCATTTTCGAGACGCCGACCTTCTGGGCGTACCTGATCTGGCAGGGGGTCTTTATGGGGTTAGCGAAGATTATCCTATCGGCTGGTACCCCGTACGCCATGACTTGCACTATTTCTTGCTGCAAATGGACAATTGCCCTGTTAATCCATGCACTTGCTAATTTTTAAATGCAATTGTTTGGTAAGAGGTTTTTGGTACCTTGGAGGCGCAGTCGAAGCTCGCGCCCAACGCGGCCAGTGTTTTTATCACTGTTGGGTTCGGGTTGCACTTCACAGCTGAAATCAGAGTTTTTTATTAGTTCCTTTGTGTCACTGAGCCGAGAACAGCCAAAATATTATCATAGTACTGAGACGCAACCGTTTAAAGAAAATTTTAAAAAATTTTATTTTACGCACAATCCACTGGAGGCTTTGATTATTAAAAAAACAACAACTTGAATAACATTGGGTTTGGATTTTTTGGTTTTTTTTTTTTTTTNACCATTTTGACGTTATTGCATAATTGTTAGGCCTTATAATTTTGTTTGGCAAATGTTGCTGTATATTGGGAAATAAAGATGTAATTACGTGGTTGTCAATGACTTCGGTTGCCTATCTCAAAATTCTTCCAACAAAAATTTTACCCCACGCAAGAGTTAAAAAAAAAGCCGATATTAAATCAAACAAATATTATTCGTTATCTTGATAAAATTTTTCAACACATAACTGTGCGGTGTCCCATTAATATTCTGTAAGCCTAGAGTTTATCATATAATATATTTCACATAGGAATGCATTATTGGACGCGAAGGAATGTGAAACGCGTCGTCATAGTTGTTATTGCCAAGGATAAAAGTTCGATAAAAGTTATCTTACGTAATAATAAAATAATTTTGAAAAAAGCTGACGTGCACGAAAAAAATTAACTGTGTTATTAGTAATCAGGATTCATTTTGCAAATTTTTTGTAATGATTTTTGCACAAAACTACATATTTATTCGCGCATGCAATGCAATTGAATATTTGTACTCAGACGTCATCCAACTGTATAGTTAAAGCAACAATTGTTGAACATATTTATAGTATAAAATTTTTCTACGTTTCCTTTTTTTTTGCATCATTCCTGATTACGTAAATAAAATCTTTAAAAAGAAAAAAAAAATTTTGGAGCTCAGCTATTTTGCTTTGTCGTCTAAAAAAATTTTCAATGCGTAATAAGTAGTTTATTGTTTTACTTTGCAATCAAACAATGACGAGCGATGTTTTAATATTGAGCTGTTGCATCATAATAAATCGCGGGAATAACGATCATCTAGAGGTGGAATTTTCGTCCGATAAATATTTACGGGAGTAAGGTTTTTCTTTTCTCTTATAACAACAGTACTACACATATGTTGAAGATCCGCACCTCGTCAAAGTCGTAGGGCAATAGTGACAGCGTCATTTTTACCGGTTGGTCAGATTTACCAGGCCAACACACGAGTTATCCCTTTTTGTTACCGATTTTTTCGACGCCGACCAAACAACCTGATCACCAAAATGCGTTGGCCGGGAATTTTCGAAGCTTCGCAGTGAACACCAACAACAATGAAAACAACAAAGCTTTGCGGAGCTATAAAAGTGCGGGTAATGTCTATATGTGTTGGCGCGCGATTTTAAGTCACGGTACGAATTGCACCTGAGCGCATCGGCACCTCAGACTTTATAGCGACGCGACCACGCGTTTCCCTCCTGTTCGGCTCAGCTTCTCCGTCTCTTTCTGTCACTCTTTGGTTGCATCCGAGCGTCGTATGAGATAAGGCGAGTATAGTTTGTCGCTTCTTTTTTTGCCGTCGCGTAACTCACTATTTGGGTAGGGCAGGAGATCTTTAATGAGGTGGTCATTTTTCGATACACATGCCCAATTTGGGAATTGACGATTTTTGGGAGTTCCAAGGAACGCGTGGGTTTCGCGCACGTGTGATCATTTTTCTTGCGGTTGGATCATGCAAGTGATGACTAATACATTTCGAGCGCCTGAACACAAACGAAATGGATGCATCGAGGGGTTCTTGAAGATACTGTAGTTTTATAGAGCTTTCCAATGGGGAGAGCAGACTGTTGAGAATTGTCTTGAATTGTTGATCAAGTGAAATTATGTTCAAGTTAAAAATCCATTGATAGAGTTTTTTTAGAGTAAAAAAATTATTTCAGCATTTTTGGCACCACTATAAAAATGTACAGATGTGGCACAAAAAAAATAATTTTTTCTTTAATGGTTACAACTCTCTGTACTTGTACGCTTTTTTTTTTTTCATAAACATCTTGAAAA